GAGATGATGCGAATAGATATTTATTCTTTATATATTAATTTGATGAACAAACTGTCGTGTTTCAATAACAAATTAAATATTTTTATGTACAGTTATTTATTCAGGTTGACGATTTTCAAATAGAGAGATAATATATGGACAAGAAGTGTTCCGGAGTGAATTAATTGGGAGAAATTATCGATCTTCAAAGTCGGTGAAAATTGAATAGTTGACACAAAATAAAAACATCCGCGAATGAAAAATGTTAACAGAAAAAATTCTCATAAATAGTGGTTGTAATAATCCTATTAAACTTTGACCGTGCAACCGGTTTGGAAAGTATCACAGATGCAAATTCGATTTCTGTATAGGCATATGGTACAGAACATATAGGGAGATCGTCGAAACTGGCTCAGTACCTTTCCAATTCGTTCTATTGACCAGGCAGTCTACCGAGAGAGGATGAGTGGATTTGCGGCATAAGCGCTAAGGGACCTGAATAAGTGATGCTCTTGATATGAATAATTTAAGTTGCGGAAGGTATAATAGGACCTGAAGAGGCAAAACTGATTATTTTGAGGGAAACAAGTGTCAAGGGATAGCCGCGTACCTAGGTCGGTGTAAAAGTTTGTACAAGCAAGAAATTTCGATGTTTTGTCACTATACTGATGATATTTTTTATTACACTCGTTGTAAATACCCAGTTAAATCCGAGTTGAGCTCTTTTTATTGACTGTCGAAGTTACGAAAAATTATAAGTTCTTCTCAATATCTCCGAAACTAAATGTAGTAAGATGAAATGAGTTATTACCGTTTTTGTTTATTGTTTTCTCAACAAGAAAGGTATCTTGCTTCTTTTACATAAAAATATCCTTAATATCACACTGGAAACATTCATTTTGCATTGTTCTTGTTACCAGAGTGACTCATGGTAATTTTTCTGTTCTAGAATCAAACTCCAAAAGATATTTGGATGAGTGTTCATTAATATCGACTTTTGTAGTCCGTTCATCGTCATTTAGTATATTTTTCTTCGCATCAACGTGCAAGAAATTTTATTTGTAGATGATTTCATTATGTATCAAGAGATTACATTCCGTTTTATCACGAACCTGATAGTTTCGAAGATATTCGAAATGTTATGACTTAAATTCTTCCGCGAATGAAAGCATGGGTTTTTTTTGAGGACAAATTTATGATACAGATGCAGTTCCAGAGATACTTCCATCTTTACATAAAACACGTGAATATTACCATTTGTATGCTGAATTTTTGAAAAAAGTGACTTTCAAGTGAAGCAAGAGACAATTTTTGTAGTAGATTTCATAGTCAGTCAAAAAGGTAATGATTCGTTTTTTGAGATACGAGGAGATGTTGAGATTATCAGGAGATGACTAGAACTATAATTCTAGTCACCTACTGATGATGCTAACTTGTTTAGCGAAATGTGCTTCGATATGAAATGTTTTTGGTTTATTAGTAGTTACAAGCTGGAGTAGCCGACTTCGTTGATATGAGATTATGTTGTAATTGGAATCAAATTTCTCCCTATATTTCTATATTTTTACGATTGTGAACGATTGAAAAATAAAACTATTAGGAGTTAGGTGCGAAAATGTATTTTATCGTTTTCTGAAAAAACAATACTATAGTCCGTTCTAACGGTGGCGTTTGAAATAGATCAAAACTAGTACAAATTTTTGGCGTTCAGCCTGCGGCTTGAACCATCGACTCACACATCAGCCGATTGACTGAGTGAACAATGTACCCACGTCGAACCATCCGGCTATTTGAAAATAAAATACACAACAGTTCGTTTGAACACGTTTTGATATTATTGTACTAAAGTCTTCTTTTACTCAAATTAATGTTTCCTATAATCAAATTGAATAATTTCTAACAATTTGACCCTACAATTTTGAAACACAATGTTAAAAGCTTTTATAGTTTGAAACTTTTGGATTAAATAACATTGGACAAGCTCACCTTATTGATCTTGTGATGCACTCTTTGGAACCTTTGGTGTAGCAATGAATATGATTGGAGTTGTAGGTTTTGAAAATAACGGTTTGGTGTTGGACAAAACTCCAGTAATATTCACCTCATTGATGTTTGAATCGTCAGACTGTATTTTATTTTCATTTGTTTGTCAACTGCCGAACCTTATCTACCACTTCTAACAATCATTAAAATTTAGTGTTAATGATCTTGGTCAATAAAAGTTTATGTTTGTTTCAGGAACACTACCTACGCGACGATGATTTTATTGCTGTTTTTCAGATGCCCGTGATCCTTAACTTTGATGATAGATTTAATTTGTTATAAATTTAAAAAAATCGGTTTCGGTCTCATTAGCCACTCGTCAGTGCAAGATTGTGGCCATCATCGACCTAAAGTCAATGATATTCCATAATTGATAATTGGAATTCTTTCAGTATTTTCAGTATTTCATTCCTCTTCAAAAGTTNAAGTTGGAGCAAACAACAAAATATCACTCCATCTAGTGGACGAGGTACTAACCAACTGCATATCCGAAATTTGCCCGATTCCTTTGAATAAGGAAGAAAAACTTTTTTATTAGTCAGTGGGCTATGCTTGAAGACTGGCAGTAAACAAATCTAAAGAAATGAACTTTAAACGTTCAAGCCAGTCTCGAATATACCTACACAGTAGGTTGAATGGAGTGACGCCTATCAGAAAACTCCCCTGGCTAATACCACGAAGGGCGTTCGATTATATCCGACATGCTCAGTGCAGGAATCTTCACAGAAAATTTCCTGCATATTTAATTGGCAATACAACTGAAAGAGTCGACCTTCAATTTTGGAACGGGCACACTTGCATATCGGTTTCGGGCTCAATAGCCACTCATCAGTGCAAGATAGTGGCGATCATCGACCTAAAGTCAATGATATTCCATAATTGAAAATCGGAATTCTTTCAGAGACTGGTTTGAACATTTAAAGTTCTTTAGATTTGTTTACTGCCAGTCCTCAAGCATAGCCCACTGACTAATAAGAAAATAAATTAAAAAGGAAATATGGTTAGGAGATGTTAGTTTTTAAAAAAAAAACGCCTTTTGACTTTCTACTTCTCTTTGATTGAATAAAAAATGTGGAAAACTTCCAAAGAAAGGAAGAAAGTAAAAAAAATTTGATGGCTGAGATCCACTAAACTAACCCTATGAACGTTTCTACGAACTGTGGTCGGGACAAGAACTAAATTGTGAGAGAAGTATGTTTCAAATAGATGCGGCCGAGGCGTTGAAGATGTATTCTCAACCCGAAACTTTGACGAAGTACACCTCAAAAGTGATCAAGTTCCATGTATTTCATATCAGTGCTCTTTTATATGTTGTGTGCCGTTCCTGTGAATAGTATTCATGTGAATACCATCATGAATGTTAGGAGTACAAACTGAATTGATAAAAACGATTTTCGTGTTATTCAGTTTTCATATGGAAGGGTTTTCTCTTGCAGTATCTGACAGAAACTATGCAAGATCTACACATTGTTGTGAAGAGTTTGTTTTGAACTTGGCTGCTTTCTTCTGTCCTTGGGAAGTTTCCCAGATTTTTTGCATAATGATGAGGAACTTTTTTCCCAATAAATTGTACCATCACTTATTTATTAAATAAATTTTCAGGTTTTGTTTGTTATGATTGAATGTATGTGCATCTGGCCATCTTTTGCTTAACTATACTTGAGATTTGAATGGAAACCGTTGGTAATTTGTCAAATATCCCAAGTGTCATTTGATATACAATCGACCCACTGGTAAAACCTGTAACACTACCGTTTTGTTTAGACAAAAGTCAAAGCCAATTAATCGAAAGTACTTATTCTTTTCACATAGCTGAAACGTAATACGGTCCCAACCGACAACAGATCGGACGGGTAGGGCCATGTCATATATCCATTCAAATGAATCAGGTAGCAAATAAAACTTGTTTCGAAGGGTTCGCATTTCGCATATGAAGACACCTTACGTCTTTAGGGGCCAAGAATGGATGACCAGTGTCCAGTAAATATTATGTAAATCAGGATAAGGGCATGTTAAGGGATCCTTATTCAAATCCAGTCTTGTATTCTTTTTTCGTGGGAAAACATAGGGATAAGAGCTTATGAGAACTTTGTGTCTAGCGTATGCATTGAATCCGACGATTTATTGCGTTGGCTAAAGGAATTTGCATTATTTTTCTTTCCGGTATTCAAATATGCTGTATATTTACCCGCAAAATCAATTTTGTCTAACCCGGATATGTGTAAACTTTGATAGTAGGGTGACTGCTTACCTGATGGTTTTTACGCAAGAATGGAATTGATGTGTACAAAAGATATCTTCGTTGTTGGGTTCAAGGTCGAAATAATAGCGTTTTATTCTATAATGGGATATGCAATCGATATAGAAGTCAAACCTAGTTTGTGGAAAGCATGCGACGAGAAATATTTGATCCAATCTAGTTTCAATAAACTTTGACCTTATCTTATCAAACATGTTATGTATGAAATGGAAAATAGCATGAGCTGTTTATGCTGTGATGTTTTCGTTGAAGGAAAAATACATGTTACGACAGCTCTTCAATTTATCGAAATACAGGGAGTTATCGATAGTAATTTGAAATTATACAAGGTTATGTTTTTGGGGCGTTCACACGGAAAATTAAATGCACAGTGAGTATTTTTGGGCTATATGAGTTATTATTTCCAAAAATACTCTAAGTTACGATATGCATTCCAAAATTCATTTGAAGGAAATCGTGAAAATACACAAAAAGGGTTTACCAGAGGTATTGATTGCTGACATGATTTCTCACGTTGAAACGAGTCATTTATAACTTCGTTTTCATTCGTTTCGTAGCTTTTTGAGTAGTGAACATTTTCAATTTTGAGTCACCGATTGTGGAATGCTTTCCAGTTCATTGAATATCTTTTCAAAATGAAGAATGTACGTGATTTTGAATTAAACATTTCAATACTCTACTGACATTTCAGAATAATAATTATAATATCGATACATACCTTCTCTCCTCATGCCCATCTTCATACATTTTTTTAAACGGCAGTACTGGCACTGATTCCTATGGTGCTGGTCTATGGGGCAATTTCGACTACCTCTACATGAGTAAGTTAAATTCCTTCGAACACTCCTCTTGAAAAATGACTTGCAACCTGTAAAAAGTGAGAAGACTTGTAGAAACGTTCTCGAGTCGGGCATAGAGTACAGTTTTTCTATCGCTTCCACTGTCTACGCTTGTCAGTGTCATAATGAAAAGGTGGATCTCGATATTTGAAGTGACTAATGACCCGAACCATCGGCAAATTTAATCGATTATTGAGTTCAATTATCGAATTGTTACAAACAGTTCATTAAATTAAGTTAGAATGATCTAGTTGGACCATCTACCAGACCTTTTCTTCTAGTACTCGACTGAAATTTATAGAAAGGAAGACCTGGCTTGCTCATCATTTTTAGAAATGTCGTGGAGGACCTATTTGAACCTAGGAGTTTTTTTGTAACAGTGAAATAGAATCACAATACTGCATATTGTTGCTTGCTATAACTAAGGCCCTATACTTTTCTTAAATATCATAATTATTGATTAACAAAAGTACTAATCATTCAAAACTAAATTCATACGTGAAGCAATTCAATAAACTGAGGTTTATTTTAATTCTAGAAAAGACAATTTCGTAATATTGGCCAACTTCATTTCAATTTTTCTACTTGGTATCGATTGAAGACTTGAGAATAAAGTTTTCATCTGTCATCAGGTTTCACCTTATTAAATATTTGAAACAAAGTCGCAAAATAGCATTAGTTTCACCATTTACATCTCAAGAACGGCTGAACCGATTTTCATGATTTGTTGGGTTTGTCTACGCCCGAAATAGCAGAATACTTATAAAAACATATGAAAAATAAAAAAAATTAACAGATTGACGATTTTCGGTTTTAGGTAATGACAGTTCTCATATTGCGCGCAAAGACAATTTAGGTTATGGCATTTGTTGTGTGCGCATGAATAATTGTTATGTCGTAATAGAAGCAAAGACAGCAATATCCATCATAGTATTATTTACAAAGTCGGTAGCGAGAAGATCGAATTTTTCACAACGAAGCCGTGATGCAACTAGACTGCGAAATATTGAGGAATTAATCCACTGCAACTAAAGAAGATATCGCACAACAAGTAGCTGTTTCAGGAGGACTTTCTTTCAGTTTGTGTCTGAAAGTTACTTCTTTGCATGATCTACACATTCATGTATAGAGTTTCAAATTGATTACTTCCTTCCTTTCTTTGGAAGATTCTCTCATCCCTTTTTTTGTATCAGATGGAGTAGTAGAAAGCTGATTCTTTAGAGATTGATAGAGATTAAGAATCTATGTTTTATCAATTGTTTATATTTTCGGAATAACTCAGTTGTTATTCTCATTTCTTGTCGAACGTATTATTCGTTTTGTCGTATACATTTCATTATGGAACAGTATAAAAACAATCAACTGAGGTTACTGAAAAGTTTCTATATTCCGTTGCCTTCTTCGAAAAGTTATTATTGACAGTGAGAAAAACGAGGACATTTAGATGTATTGGTATTGACCATCACTTTGTTAGAATATTTTTTTAAATGAGTTCTATAGTATCAGAAAACAGAAACAATATTCCATTGATTTGAAAATATTTAAAACTAAAAAATAATTATGAAATTTGGCAACCATGGTTTTCCTTATGATTTTCTTTTGTGTTGCAACAAGGAAACTAATTGGTTGGAAATAAACATTTGTTAAATTTATTCAATAGTGGAACTAGAATTGGAAGCTCCAGTTAAGCACACTCTTGAGGGTTAGAACTGCAAGGTATCCTACCGACTGCGCTAAATTTCATCAGATACTTTTCATTGGAGTATAAAACAAGTATACTTTTCAAGTGTTCTCATATTTCAAACAGCTTGTCAAATCTAGAAATAGACTTAAGAATTATAACAATCTATTCGTACTACGAAACTAGTATGTTAAATGAGCCAGCATCTAGTGGGTAGGATCGTCATAAAATGTATAAAGGTCTTCCTACATTTGACAAGCCATATAGTAACAGTAGAATAGAAATATACTGTCATTTCTACAATTTATTGATATTAGTTTTTGGTTGATGTGGATATGTGACAGTGCTACAATTTCATATTCCTTCGGTTTATACTTCGTATAAATAAATAGTCCCCTCTGAATAAAGTAGGTAGTTATTCGACATTTTCGCTCATCATTCCACTCAAGGCGAAATGTTAAAAAACTGTAGACGTCGTTACAGTGCCCTTCGTTGAGAATTTGACAACCCCTTTGGGAATGAAGAAGAAAAATGAGCCTTTATAAAAACATTCCGAGCAATAAAACTATGAAGACGGGACATGTATGACAGGAGGAACAAGTAGTGACATATTAACGGACATTAATTTAAATACGAGGTGTACGCGAAAGATGTTTCAATTTAGCTGAATTGTTCAGCTTAGCACAATAGAATAAGGAAGATTGCAGAAACAAACAAAAAAACGAGGTGAAACTCTGAAATGATGTGATTGATGTGTGTTAAATAGAATGTGAAAATGATGTATTTTCCCAGATAATATTATTTAATACATGGCATATCTGATAGCTAAAACATCTGCGAAAAAAATCGGTTTTGAAACTGACTTGGTAAAACTGACTTTTTGTTCTCCATATTTGACCAACCGGCATCTTTGAGTTTATAGGAAAATGTTTGAGAATCTGAGAATGTCTTATTCTATAAATAAGTCTCAAGCACGAGCTCTAAAATCAAAATTTTTGAATTTTTTGTTAACACTTTTCGGTCGAATGTGGTCAGTCAGTAGACTTCAATTTGATATTGTCCAATTCTTCTGCTTTCAACTCAATATTTAGGTCATTTATTGGTATGTTTAAAAGTTCTAAAATATCGAGTAACTTGAACTTTGACCAAAATAATGAAACATTTGATTTTTGATAGTTCAAGAGCAGAAGATTGTTGTTGCAGCTCTAAACATGTTGTTTAAGTCTTCGCTACAGAGAGTGATTGTAGTGATTGATACAATTGATGGCATTGAAGGAATAAAGTGCAAACAGAATCGGTCCTAGATTAGAGCCTTGTAGTACTCCTCGCTGGGGAGAAAAGAGAGCCTAGTATGAGGAAACTATCTCTGACTAGTATACAGTGAATATCAATTAGTAATAATGAAAAAATATTTCTTCAAATGTGAATGGTATCAATACGACTCTTGTATAGTGGAATATAATAATGTAAATGTTTCATAAGGACGGCTGACACAAAAAAGTCGGTACCTTTCTAAAAAAATATTTATTTCACGCTGGCGTGAATTTTTCCTTAGATTCATCAACATGAAGAGATTGATTATCTGTTAAATATTATCGTTGTCAATTCACGAAATCCTAAATGCGGGTATAAAGAATACAAAATATAAACATGGAAGTGAGGATTCAAATAATTTGCATATTGAATATGTATGAGATGGCTCTTAGGGGGTTATAGTTACTCTGCCTGGGGTGTAGCTACATACGGTCGTTCAATCCTAACAGGTGCTATATTATGATGTTAAAAAATTCACACTCTCCGGGTTGAATTTAAAGGATTTAATATTTTGGGAAATCTGGCAAGGACGAGTTTTATTGAAATAATTGGTGGATAACGGGATCGAGAGTAGGGTGGTTGAAAGTGGCTTTTTGGGAACGTTTAAATTTTGAAATATTCGTAAGCTTGAGGCTTACCGAATCTAAGTGGGAAATTGAGAATTGATAACAATTGTTGCTGTATTTTTAGATTTCAAGAAAGCTTCTGAAACGATGAAATATCAATTCTTCTCTCAACATTAGAAAAACATTAAAAAGAAATTACCGATTTTATTGAATTAATGTCAATTGTATCTATTGATAAATTTTATAATATACTAGGTGTTCAAACAAAAAAGTGTAAGTTTGGAAAGCCATAGCTTTGTGGACCATTCAGCATTATAACAAATATTTTCAAACAGAGATCATGTCACATAAATACCCAAACTCAGATCATTGAGGCACCGTATGAAATTTCAAGATATACATTAAACAAAAACCTCTAAATTATTCTCGGTCCTCTTCATAATTTTGTTTTCACGGTGTAAACAGTCGGCATTCAACTTAGTTCTCATAAAACCGAGCATATAATAATTCGACAAAAGGATAACGTGTGGTTGTTATAAAGGAAGGATTGGAACACGGTAGAATTGTCATATTCTATTATTCACAAGCACACCTGCGTTAATTTCTTTTCCGTTAAATATTAATAACCGAGTTCTTTTTTGGTAAAAATCACAGAACAAAACAGTTCCTGCCGGACATGGCATTGACAATGAAATGTTTTCAGATTTGTGGTAATTGTCGGAGGGCACTAGAGCGAGAACATGTTGGAAAATCGGTAGGAACAGACGTTCGATGTTCCGGTGGCTGACTGGGGCTCCTTCAATGCCATAAACAGTTTTTTTTCACATCAGACATGCGATTTTTACGAGGTACTGGCCTAGCTCGTTAAATCCTTGAAACTAAAAATAATTCGGTCGCTATAGAGAGGTCCATCCTACAATTATTCAGGTAGTAATGATTTCAATACGTTATTCGAGATGGTTGAAAAATGAAAAAACTCAAATTTTCGTCATTCCCCCCATTTCCGTGTTAAACAGCAAAAAACCACACTTTCTGTCCTGTTTTTTGCTTTTGAATCCCAAACGGTGCACTGCAGAAAAATATGATCCATATTCACTCTTCTACTGGACAGCATCTCCTACTACAGCAAAGAAGAGATATTATCACGGTTCCAGCACATAGTCACATTTCAGTTCCTCTGTATCGCTCAAACTATAAGAAAAACTGATAGGATGTATAGATACGCGATTAATTAAGTTGAGTAAATACCTTTGAATTGCAATTATCAATTGTTTCATTACTTATAATCGTGTATGTAGATGATAAAATAAACAACTACGTATCTATGTTTTGGCTATACCCATATAATGGAGGATCTTTAAAAAAAATATGTAGATACTGAATATGAAAAACCACCAACATTTATTAACAAAAATTTGATGTAGCAGGTTATTTGATTAGATTAAAGTACGTAGAACAGACCCATGAA